TGCAAATATTTTGCAAATGTAAAGCACTGCGTGTTTTTTTTTTTTTTTTTTTTTTTTCCCAAATATGTGTGACGTGTGACTGAATGTGCTGCTGTCACGGGAAGACTTTGCCTCCGCCCCCACGCAGGTGTTGATAGGTGACTGAGTTCTGCAGCGTCATTTCACCCTGATACCATCAGAGAAGGTGAGTCACATTTGTGTTGCTCTGAGCTCAGATTTACGCAGCAAAAAAAAAAAAAAAGAAAAAAAAGAACTGGAGTCAATCTTCACTGTCATCAACTGTAGCAGAGTTATGTTTTACTCTTTAAAAGCAGCTTGTTTTATTTGGTTTGAATGAAAATGGTTAGAGGTTAAAGTTTGCTTTTGTGAAAAATCTTTTAGAGGAAAAAAGTTCCCAGTGCATAAAAAAAAAAAAGGAACAGCGAATACTGAGAAGGGTAATGAGTTTGTGGTTTTATGAACACTGTGTACAAATATCTAGTGTAGGTAGTCAGTGAAATAAGTATTTTGCATGCGCATTACAACAGAACTACATGGTGTGTTTATTTTTGTCAAGACGATGGAGTGGAGTCAGTCGACACAGGGTCAAAAGGATCCTTTTACCTGGTTCACGGAGTCCCAGCTCCGGTCTGTGTTCGGGAACGGCTCGGTTCCAGACTGGTTTCATGGGATCATTACGAGGAAGTAAGTTTTCAAAGTCTATCACCATCTGCCATCTGCCACTGCGGCAGTAGGAATGTACAAGAGAGAGATGGGCTTTTACAAATCACACACAGGAATGATGTCATTGTCACAGTGTTTGTTTTTGCAACCTTAAAATAGCTTACTAGCGCAAGCTATTTTAAGGTTGCTTTAATGATTTTTCTTGAAAACAATCAAATAATAAATAAAAAACATGCAGTTTTTAAAGAAAGTTAAAGAAAGAGAAAATGCAAAAAGACTAATTAATGAAACCTTTGCTTAAAACTTCAAGTTTTGAATCCTCAACAATTACTGAACAGGGAATAAATGGTGAGCACTTATTTCCTGTACTGGTGTTAATATGTTTTCACATAGTGCCACTTTAAAACTACCATACCATCCTCATCATGAAACATGGTGGTGGGAGCATTATGGTAGGGGGTGGCTTTCTTCAGCAGGAACAAGGAAGGCTGATGGCAAGGTGAATGTAGCTAAAAACAGAACAATCCTTTAGAGGAACAAAAAAGAAGAAAAAAAAAACATATTAAATCGCATTAAAATGCATTAAAGTTGGTGGATGTGACGTGACAAAACATTTCCTCCGGCAGACGTTTCCTCCTGCTGCACCAGTGCAAGTAATTACCAGCTGAAATGCAATTTGATTTTTATTAGAAAGTCATAATGTGCATCTGGTTTTCCGTTACTGCAGTCTGTAAATGTACCTCTTCCTATAACTGCATCCGCAGACATGACTCCCACTGCTATTGGTATTTATAGAGTCAAGCAAAGCAGAAATCGTCAGAATCCACAAGAGAAAGACGCAGAACTGCACAGCAACATTTCTGTCATTCACTTTCTTTCTCTGTTAGTTCCTTTCATTGTTCTGTGCTTGTTGCAGAGCTGTGGTGCGTGCAGCATAGAAGTGAACAGTGATTGTTTGCAAATTAAAGGAAGGACATCTGCTGCTTGACCTATTAAAAAAACAACAATAGTTCTATTTGCCACAGCTTTGCTGCAATATTTACTCAGTCCTGACCTTTACTTGTGATACAAATTGTTAATCTTTCGCACTCAACAGATCTGCCCACACCCAATTTAAACAATAGATGATGGGTCAATCAGTACTGGATGGGTCTCAGTTCAGGATATTTACTATTCTAAAAGAAATCTTTTCTCAAAGCAAAACGAAACAAACACAGTCTTTCTACATTTAGTTATTATTCTGGACAGTTTATTTTCCATAATTTGTGAACGAGAGAATATGTTGTCATTATGCAAAAGTATTTTCCGTGGCTGTTAAAACATTTAAAACGCGATAGTGGGGCAGCGCAAAACACATTTCCAGCTGAAAGTGCATGTGTGAAAGAGACCTTTGTCTCTGCTGATTTGTGTAGGACAGCAGAAGAACGGCTCACGGTGAAGCCGCCTGGCTACTTCCTCATCAGAGTCAGCGAGAGCAGAGTTGGCTACACCCTGTCATATCGGTGAGTGTTCACAGCTTTGTTGTGCCGATTGAGTAAGAGGTCAAAATCATCACTCTGTTGTGTGGGCCTACCTCAGCGAAGACGAACACTGCAGGCATTTCATGATTGATGTCCTGGAGAACGGCCAGTACATCATAGTAGGGGACGACAGGACTCACAGGAGTCTGCAGGACCTGGTGGACTTTCACCGCCGGAATCCCGTCATGCCTTTCAATCAGGTGCTCACAGTTGCTTGTGGACAGGTAAGAATATAAATGTCTCTTGTTCTTGGCACAGATTTGCATGCTCAAAAATGATATGGTTTTGATGAATGTTGCAAAAATATCTCAATAATAAAAAATAAAAAAAAATAGCAAACAATTGTGTGGAAGTTGAATTAAGTCCAGAAGTGAATCAGTGCCTGCTTTGTCTCATCTCATTTTAGTCATCAGCTGACCGCTTAGACTATGCAGAACTACTGTTCTCCCAAAGACCCCGAAGCTACTCCACCAGTGTGCTACCAAATAACCTCCAACAGCCCAACCAGAGTCAGCCACAACCAGCGAACGAGCTCCCACCCGCCCTTCCTTATCGACCCAACAACCTGAGGAACTCTGCACTCTTTCTCCCAAACAGCCAACCAAACAGACTCTACCCTAGTTTGGAGGAAGATTTACAACACTTCGCCGCTCCTCTTCCAGCTTCGGTAACGTGACAAGAAAAGACTGTTTTGTGGTCAAACTGCCTAGATGGAAACAGAAGAATGTTTATGTATACATTTTTGATTTTCTTTCTTACTTTACATTGCATTTAGGTTCCCCTTTAACTTGTATTGAGGCAGCCTTTGCCATTGCTTAGGATGTTTTACATATTGTACAAGCCAGAGATTTAGCACAGTTGAAATTAGTCTGATGAGTTTTTACTCCAGACAATGTAATGGACAAATTTGTTTACAGATAACCCAGGATTTCAACAACCTTTTGCATTTTCTGCTTTACATTTAGTTACAAAAGCAAACATGTCCGCAGGGCAAAAAGCAGTTTTGAGCTGCCGGGTGGTGAGGTTATTAACACTACTGCCTCACACCTGGGTTTGACTTCCAGCTGGGGGTTTTCTTTGTGACATTTTCATGTTCTCACCTTGCATGCAAGTATTGTGGCTTCCAAAAACATGCAGGCTAAGTTAGATGTTGGAGGTCAACGTCTGCCTTCATGTTTCAGTTCCTCTCCATAATTAAAACAACCCAACACCACAGTTTGTGGCCCTGATACTGTTCACCAACTTATTGCACTCCATGTTTAAGAGGCATGCGTGAGATTTTCAAATCTAAATCCATGTGCCTTGCATTTCATGTTTCTGATTTGCAGCCAGTGCCAAATGTGAGGAAAAGCTCTCCGTGGATCCAGCCTCCTGAAGTCCCTTTGAGGAATCATGTTGTCCAAAAGCAAAACCTGGTCTGCAGCAGAACAACCATGGTGTCCGACAGCTCGTCTACACCGTCAGCCACCGAGAGAAAACTCTTCACCAACATCCAGTCAGTGAAGTTACAGGATCTGAGGCCATCGGTCGCTGTGAACCTGAAGAGCCTCAAGAAGAAATTCCAGAAGAAGACGAGCAACCCACCGGAAAATGTCTATGCAGAGATTACTCAAGGGCCAAATGACCTCAGCGAAGTCACGGAAAATGAATACCAGGAAATCACAGGAGAGCTCACATTCCGTGCTCCCCCTCAACACCACATAGATGTGAAACTAAACGATCAAATGCTACCTCAGGAGTATGGATCACCTCCACCATTTGCTCCAGGCTACTGAGATGCTGGCATTCGTTTTAAAGCTCCCCCTATTGACTGCGTTGTGAATTACACAATCTACTCCTTACTATCAGTAGATAGTAAGGAGAAATCACCGGATCAAGAAATCCCGACAAATTTGTGATGTGTAGAAAGGGGATGAATAAAATGCGGGCATGTATTTTGTTTCCACAACACAAACCACCTTAATCGTTCAGTTGACAGGTCAGATAGGACAGGTATTGTTGTACATTTCATGAGGACTTAAAACTACTCAGCATATTCATCCTTTGAGCTCAAAGCAAGCTCGTTTGTCTGGCATTGTGCTAAGTGAATACAAATATAACTTAAAGAGACTTGGTTCAACCTTAAAAAAATAATAAATTAGCCTGTTTGCTCAGCTTAATCAAGATGTGAGACTTGTTTAATGTTTGCAGTTTTTAATTTTAAAAATCAGCAACAAAAAATGAGCACCTTCCCTGAGGCAAAGTGGGAACTGTGGCATCTTTCTTTGAAAACGGATGATCCAAACTAATCCAGATCTAATTTGGCTTTAAAAATATAGATATATTTTTGTTCCGTTTAAACAGAGTCAGATTCAATGTTACACAACCTACAGAGCAACACATGTAAATAAAGGCAACCTGCTGCAATTTTTATCCGTTAGGCATTAACTTTCCATAAATGTTATACACTTCAATGAAGTAACAAATCCCGGCAACGGAAACTTGTGAAAAAACGTTGTTTGGTTCTACACCCAGACAAATGGGTGATATATTTGATAACATCTGTTATTAAAAAGGTGCAACTGGAAGAGAGGAAATTAATACTGGTCATACTGGTTTCACAGCTATAAAGTGAGTTAAAACAGTTGTTGCAAACAGTTTTAATTGAAATATGTATTTAATGTATAGTATGTACCTTTGTAACTTACTGATGTATATTGAATGCAGACTTTGGTGGATGCAAAGCATGTTATTTCACATTTATACTTTTGATGTAATATCATTAAATGACCCAAATAAAGCACTTTAAGAGATGCACATTGCAGTATTTGCAAATTCTGTGCAGTAGGTAATTAATTTTTAAACACAAAGAGCCTTTCAGTATACGCTTTGGTGTTTTGTAACTGCCAGAGTTTTAGATCTTGTAGATTACATTTTTCAAGACAGATCAGACCACTGCATTCCAGTTTAATAGGAAACACATGTTCTACACTCATCATCAAGCTGGGAAGAACAGCACCAGCTAAATTTAAAGATGGACTTTGCAAGAGGCTTATCATAGAAGATGCTTTCGGCAAGTAGAACATTTCATTATACAATATTTTACTGGGCAGATTGACTACTTTTAGAATTTGAGAATTTTACAGAATAAAAAACAAAAAAACAAACACTGTAATTTGTGGGGAGGTGTTCAGCTCCCATACGGTTACTCACACAGTTTACCCTTGGCTACGCTTCTGTGCACTCTAACATACAAACACAAATAGATGTGCACACATGCATGAAAACCATGTAAACATGGAAGCAAGTACAATAGTGCAATATGATGGAGACACAAGAGTTATGCTGCATCATCCAATATATTGGTCGTTAGCCCCTTCCTAAATGTCATTGCTCGTCGTAATAAAACATTTCAGATTTGATCATTGAAAACATACATAAATTGTTAATGTTGAGAGGAGAGATTGGGCCCAACTCTGGGGAAGAGTGTTTTTTTTTTTATAGTAAGGAATATTATACAATTATTAGTGTCTGTATGACAGGTACATGTGCTTATTAAAAGTTAAATTAAGACACAGATTATGTGATTATTAAACCAGTTTCATAGCATGTGATCCACAGGGAGTTATGCTGACTTTTTGTTAGTTTATTGAGCAATAATAATTATTATGTTAACAATAATTATACTATAACTAGGTCATAGTATTACTTCATAATATAGTCAAATGCAGTACTTTAGACGACTGATTTTGTGACTTAAAGGAGTATGGTTTCGTTTTTAGAGGCTCAGCCCTGTTGTCCGTTTAAGGACATTAATCAGTCCTCTCTCTCTCTTAAGAGGCAAGGAATGCAGCGGCCAAGCCATTTAACACCGCCCTCCCTAACTGCCCGGGTGAATGAAACACGCACATCTGAGTTTGCTGGGCGGCGAGATTACGTCATCTGGGAAGACGCTGGTTTTCTGTTCGGGATCAGCCTACTGGTAACTCATGGGAAGTTGTTTCTCCACTAAAATCACATTTTAAAAACTTTTACGAAAGCTTTTGTTAAACATTCCTCGGCTCGTTCTTTTATTTTATTTTTGTTTGTTTGTTTGTTTGTTTTTTTGTTAAATCACAGCTAAACGATGTCGTTTGTCCCCGGTCAACCAGTGACTGCAGTTGTGGTAAGTTTAGGAGGGCGACTGTGTTTCATTGAACTGGACGCTATTGTTCATCTTTTTGACCAACATTGTCGTTAAGTAGGGATTGAACTAGGTAGACATGTTTAAACATAAACGCTAATTAACTATCATACGGTAGTTCTTGTTTACTGTGTTAGTATTTTCTTTGTTTGGTGAAAATAAGAACATTTGTTTCAGCTTAAATATTAGTTTACTCATTTACATTCAGCCAGATAACTTGGATAATCTAAGATGTAGTCGATTTTTATTTTTAACAGTCTATTTTTTTACTGTTACTTTCACACAGTATGAAAATGTCCTGTCAGGGGCGTCACCCCCTAGGTGTGTGAGTTCTTCCTGGTCCGTGAACGCAACATAACAGTATTTTATTTTCATCTGTTGTTTTTAAATTCTTGGCTTTTTTTTTTTTTTTTGACTGTATCGCAAACTAGTAAGATCAGCATTAATCATTCACTATAATGGTTCTCACTGTGGTTAATTTACCGACTTACTTTTATGTTCCCTTTTCTTCCTAACATTAATGTGATAAAATAACTCGAGAACTGGAAAAATAATTACAATATTTGTCATATTTGTCATATCACGTATTTAACTTCTTCTTTGTAGAACAAAAAATCCTTTAATTATTATCTGATATCCATCGATTCATTGTTTTTTTACCCTTGCAGTGCTGTGGGGGGGCTGGTGCCTTTAGTTTTCTGGCAGGTTTGATCTGAGGTTCATCTGGCCAGCTCCAGCTAGAGCCCCAGAAGAGTTTAGAAAACTCTAAATGTTTTAATCTTGCTTGCTGAACAACCAACCAGTTGTCCAGGCAGTAGCTTCTAATTATAGTTATTAATACTTTTGTCCCAAATCGCCTCCTGCTGCAGCTTCGTACTGTTAGTTTTGAAGCTTTTCTTTCTGTTAGCATCCTGCTCATTGTGCTTGGTGACAAGATAAACATACATTGTTGTCCAGCCTTTTTTTTTTTTTTTTCTCCACAGTGCTAGTTGTTCAGGTGTGCTTCCATCTTCTGGTCACCATTTCCAATTTATAAGCTGCAACACATATCCGTCTTTCTTTCTGCAATTACATGTTTTCTTTTATTTGCTGTTGTTGCCCGTGGTTGCAAGGCTCTGAAAAGGAGAAGCTTTTTATCTGGAAATCCTGACTCACTGGCTGATCGACAGGGTCAGTGAAGTCATCTCTAGACTTCATTGTATTAGAGAGACTCTACGATTATTCATCACCGCACACACAGACGGCCTTTGTGTTGGAGGTGCTCTGGAGTCATACGTGTCCATCTGTCTGCAGCTGGTTGTCACTGCACAGGGAACTTATTAATGTTTCCATCTTTTTTTTTTTTTCTTTTTTTTTTTGGCTTGAGTTGGCAGAAAATGTCCCTCATAATCAGCTCTTATGTTGTGAAAATGCTCCCTGATGGTGTAGGAATATTGAACGCTTTAATTAGCAACAAGTTTTATTTTGCACAAATATTTCTTTGCAGTAGCAGGGAAAAAAACAAAAAACCTGGCACAGCTGCAATTTGTGCTGATTTATGCTAGCCTCATGTCTGAACAGCGCAGTATTGACACAGTTGGGCAACAACGCCAGATCACTCGTGAAGATTTCAGATGTGCAGAACAGCTTCCAGTAAGTTGGTAGCTTATACTGAGTGTTTTGCTTAATATCTGATTTTATTCGGTTGTTTTCTAACAGCAAAGAATTGAAATCCAGAAGCTGTGCCAAGGAGAAAACCTGATTCTGGGCTTCAGCATCGGAGGCGGTATCGACCAGGACCCCGGGCAGAACCCCTTCTCTGAGGACAAGTCAGATAAGGTCAGAAAACAAACATCTAAGCACTCATATCTACTGTCTGTTTCTTCTAATGGCTCTGTAACCTTGAGTCAAACTAAGATGCATATTATTTTATGCTACAGAGGAACATAAAAGGCAAGAAATTAATTAACTCGGCACATACCGGTGAGCTGTATGTAAAGAACAGGCCTGAACGTATTATTCATGGCCTTGTGTGAGAACAAGCCAGACCCAAATATGTGAGTAATGGACAGACGCACTGCAGGTTTATGCAGACACATGTACAACCTGACTATTGCATAAACTCTCTAAGCTGGTGGAAGTGTTTGAGAACAAGTCATGTGCTTCCACTTATCCTATTACAGATGAATGATAACTTTAACTCGCAGTTCATCTGCGGCTCTTGGAGGTTTCTGTCTGTATTTTAAACTAAAGTGTGTGTACCTGCAGTGCTTTGTAAAATAAAACAAAAGAACAAACCTTGGAGCAATTACAGCTATGAGTCTTTTAGTCTTTACCAGCTGTTCACATCTGGAGTCTGAAACATTTGTTCATTGTCACATTGAATGTCTCACATTCATAAACATAACTTTTCGAGTCTTGCCACAAATTTAGTACAGTGGTGCACATTTACCGCTGCAGTGGTAAATGTGCAGCTCAGGTTCAGAGCAGATGGTGAATAAACAATAACTTATCCAACTATGACACCACAAGGTTGCAACACAATGTGAAGAAGAAACGAGTTTCTGAAGAACATTGTTGCTTAGAAAAATGGCAGAAATTCAGGGCAGATTATTGTTATTAACAGATAATAATAATAATAAAAAAATGTGACATCATGGATGGATAAATGTAGTAACTTCAATGCATGCTCCATGCATTTTGTGCAACTGGAAATATTTTCAAACAGTTAAATTTGTCTTTCAGCTAGCTGAGCAGAAGTACCCAGTGAAGTCGGGTTATACACAGTAATGATATGTCAGAGAAAACTTAATTATCTCAATAATATCTGTTTTCCAGTTAATGTTGAAGAGAAATGTGAGAAATAAATTTTATTTTAGAAGAGCGATTATGAACTGAAAGTAAAGCGAGAGTAAATATGACATGAGCTGCTCCAGTTATTTCAGTAAAATGCACTACATCATTTGAGTAAATTCCCAAAAACCTTTGTACACAAATAGAAGAGAAAACATCATCTGTATTTAGGAATGTGTGTAAAAGAAGTGTGTGGTCTGCAGGGAATCTATGTGACCAGGATAACTCCAGGAGGACCAGCAGAAGTTGCAGGGTTGAGGATAGGAGACAAAATCATGCAGGTGGGTAGTAGCAACTCTCATCATTGGATGCAAAAGCCACAAGATGGCGCTGTTTGGCACTTTAAAGTGCGAGTAGAGGGCTGAAAAAAAAGCTGCAAGTTTTCCTGGACTGAACCTTGAACAGACTGACCTCCTTCCTTCCTGCCAGGTGAACGGCTGGGATATGACCATGGTGACTCACGACCAGGCTCGTAAAAAGCTGACAAAGAAGAGGGAAGACGTGGTGAGGCTACTGATAACCAGGAAGTCCCTGGAAGAAGCGGTTAAACATTCAAAGGGGAGTCATCCCAGACAGTGATCTGCCTGCACAGACCAATGAGAGGACAGCAAAGGACCGGGTAGTTTAACAAACTCTGCAGACGTCTCCAAATGCAGCTGCCTTGTGGCCTGTAAAGCTACATCAATGCAAAGAAAACAAACAGATTCAAGTCCATCCATTTTACATTTGGAGACTTATTGAGTTATCTGAGGCTCGAGTGTAATCCCAATTGCTATAAACTTATTAGCTTTCCCTTTAAGACCCATTCCTACTCAGTAAGAAATGAAATCACCTGAACAGTGAAGTGAGTTTGATCTTCATACTACAGCACACGAATGTAATTCCAGGTTTACCTTTTGTAACTTTTGACCACTGGCAGAACAAATACAAAGGCTTGGAAAGCAGAAACGTTGATTGTGTTGATGAGTGTTAAAACAAAAATGATTCCTTCATTCTGATTTAGCTGATGTTTGTTAAATTAATCTCGTTGGCATTCAGATACCGGGTACTGCAACTAAATCGTATTGATCACACTTAACGATCAGTTTTCCTCTTATCTGAAGCAAAGACCCAATATTCTGCTATCCAAAATAAACGCCAAAGTTAAAGCCAAAATGCAGGGTTTATGATATTTTTTTCCTACTAACTGATAGAGTATGCTGTGCAAGTATCATGGTTTATTATTATTTACTGGTTATTTTCTTGCTTTGAGTCGATCAACTTTCCAGGTAACACTTTATTTGAAGGGGGTGAATAAGACTGACATGACACCGTCATAAAAACCTGTCATGAACATGAATAAGCCTTCATGAATATTTATGACTGTTGTCATAAAGCGTCATTCGGTAAATTATGACACTTTTAATACAAAGTTGACATTATTCAAAATGTCTTTGTTATGACAACTTGACATTAACCAAGAAATCATTACTGTTTAAACTTTACCTTTAATAACATAAAGTTACCTAATTTTTAAAGTGCAATCAGTAATACTTTTATAACAAATTTATGTCATTAATAATTTCTTAGTTAATGTCAAGTTGTCATAACAAAGACATTTTGAATCATGTCAACTTTGTATGAAAAGTGTCATAATTTACCGAATGACGCTTTATGACAACAGTCATAAATATTCATGAAGGCTTATTCATGTTCATGATAGGTATTATGTCATGTTTATGACGGTGTCATGACAGTCTTATTCACCCCCCTTCAAATAAAGTGTTACCACTTTCTACATCTGATTAAAGTGACTGAAAATCTAAAACAAGTTGTTTACACAAACAATATTTTTTAATACATCTCATATATATTTGGATGGCACCAGTCATGGTTTTTCAGTAATTTATTGTATACGTTTTCCATCTTTGTACAGCTAAAATCAAATCAAGAAATGTTTTTTAAACACAAAACCAAGTTCAAATATATTAAACTAGCACCTAAAACAATAAACTGTTTCCAGTTTTCTCTTTTATTTGTGTTTTCTGGGTTAAACATCACAGCTGACAGAAAATAATGTTCAGATTTAATTCTTTTACTAATTAATATTTAGTTTAGCATTAAAACACAAATTATCGATTATATTCACTAATCATTTATGCCTAATTGACAATGTTTATTTTTTTTGTTCTGCTTTCAATTAAAATACAGGCATGTGTGTCTTTTTTTTCACTGGGATGTTTGATTTTTATGTAATAAAAAATTGAAATGATTAAGTTTGAGTACAAGTTTGAAGTCTTTAAAGTGTTCACTCTAAACCTTCCAGTTTAAGACTGAATTGAATCTGAGGCTGAATGTTTTTTTATTTTATTTTTCTCACTTTACACATCAGTTCACTACAGGGAGCTATTGCAGAGGTTTTATTTCTAATTTCTCTGAAGAAGATGACTTTTTTGAGGGATTAGCAAGGTAAATTAAGACGACATTTCTCATCAATGTTTTGCTTTTTTTTTTTTTTTTCTCCAGACTACCACTCATGACGTTGCACAACCCTGATGTATTTTTTCCACATGTGGGATATTGTTAACACACAAATTTAACATGATGTATATTTTTGCCTCTCGAGTATTTTTATGGTCCCAGGTCTGAATAATCAGCTGACATTTCAAAGCTGAACGATCTATGCTCCGACCTTTCTGTTCATCCTGTGGCTTTTTGATGTACAGAGCTTTTTGCACTTTCATCTCCTAAATATTGAAAATCTATACCAAACGAAGTCGTCTGAGATATCGTGAAACCCCAAGTAGGACTTAATTGAATGCCTGTTGTTTTGACTCGGGTTCAGTTGGTAATTATTAAAAATCTGATCAGTGGTGTTTGTTTTCTGAGGACAGAATTAACTCTGCTACATAATGTTTATACTCGTAAAGTAACACCTGCCACATCTTGGGTGAGAGTCGACTTGGGGCGATGCTGAGCCAAAATCCTGTCTTTGAGAAATAATTGATGAGCGACCCGTCATCGTGTGTGTGTGTGTGTGTGTGTGTGTGCACGCACTTCAGGGATGGGGAACCATGCTTCATTCCACTTCTCTGCCCTTCATACTGTTTAGAGACAATAGCATGGCTGCACAAACATCTGAGGCAAAGCTCAGACTTGCAGTTTCATGATGCTGCGGCGTTAACATGTGGCATGTTGCCGGGTAACTAATGGACAGTTTACAAATGGAAGCAGTGAGCATCTAAATTCATTACAAGACGCACTGTTTGAGGTAATTTAATCGACATGCATTACGTATAATAATCATGTTTATTTTGGTTGATCTGTTTATATGTTCATTACTTTATCAATGTACTGAATTAAGGCAAATTTCTAAATTGGCGTTCTATAAAAATCACTTGTAATTAACAGAGCAAGACAGAGAAAGGCAATTTAAACTCAAAGAAACGTCTTTGTTCTGTGGGCGAGCGAGTAATTTCACCAAGCGTGGTTCATACATGATCCATGCCTCCTACATTATGGCATGATAATTGCGTTTCCATGGCGATGCAGTCTGCCTCTATCGCTTTGGTCCTACACCAAACTGGAACAGGATCATCAGAAATAAAAACAACTTCTTTGTTGATTTTTGAGCATTCAGTGGACATCTCTGTTTTTGCCCTGATAATTAAGAGCAGATTAGACTGATGACACTTTGTTTTATTGAGAGTAAGGATAAGATTTATCAAAAGCCTTTCATTCTGATGCTTTTATCTTTACAACATAAGTGTGCTTGAAATCTAGCCAAGACACTCTGAGGTCTTAAAAATACCCAAAACTCAGGCTCTAAAAAAAGATGTGAATTATTTCCCATTTTAAAATAAAATCCTTCCCCCTTTTATGCTTTTATGGCTGAAATAACCTTCATGTGATTTAAAAAATGTAACAGAATCCAATACTTTAATTCAGAGTTGTATTAAAATTTGGGGAAGAGAGACAGCTGCTGCACCACACAGTTGGTCATTTTAGCCGTGGTGCTCTTTGGAAGGAGGTGAAGATGAGAGGAGGAAGAATATTTAATCTCGTCCTGAGTGGGAAGAGAAACTGCTGTTTATCAGAGACCCAATGCTTTCTGATCAGGTTAAGGTTTGTTTGTGAACTCCCATGAACTTCACGCTCTTCATCGCCTTTGGGGAGCTGTTGCTGTGCACCACCGTTAACGGATCAGCTTCTTTCTGATGGTCTCATTTGATTCGTCAGCAGTCTGGTCTCCTTTCTTAATACTTTGAGCCTCCACTGCAGTTTGTCTTTAACCTTGTCTAGTCAACCATTAAAGTCCAACAATCTCTGGAGCGTTCCACATCTCAGGAGAAATCTCCGTCACTTCTGCTGCGCTGGCCTTGCAGAGCGTTTTAGCTTCCTGATCAGCCTGCGGTGACAGAACAGGATTCTCCTGCCACAGCAGGGACCGTGGAGGCTGGATTCAGGAGATCCTCCACCGTCATCAGTCGGGGTCTGTGATCACTCTCTCAGTTTTCCAGAACTTCATCAAAGTCAACTGAAAGCCGTTCTCCGTTGCCTCTCTGAAATCCCTCCACATCCCAGTTTTGCTTGTAATTTTGACCTGCTTGTTGCAGATCAATGCATCTCATCCCAGAGAAGATAACTCACTACATTTAGTGCAAATAAGCCTTGACAATAGCCTTAAAAAAAACCAAACAAAAAAACACTATATTGGACGCTCAGTTGTAGGTGTAGAACAATTTGACATTTTGAAGAAACAAGAACAGTAATACATAGCTATAGCATTCATGTAATAACAAACCTGGACCCTTCGAGAGCTTCAGAGGAGCCACTGAATGAATCTTATGGAGATATGTTTACTGAGTTATTTATTCATTTAGTTTAATTCTTTAACCCTCTGCTCTGTGAATTGTGAAAATGTTTGCTGAGATGTTTGAAATACAAAAGAAAACCTTATTTTAAGCCACAGAAAGCAAAAGCT